GCCCCTCCCTTTCCTCCACCAAGTTCTGCATCCTGCCCCCTCCCCGACTGCCCCCTCCCAATGTGCCTTCTCTGCCTGGCTTGAACTCTGAGGAGGGAATCTGCTTGTTCTTTCAGGGTCCCTTTTCCTTCGAGGAGGTGGCCGTGTATTTCACCGAGGCAGAGTGGGCCCTGCTGGATCCGGGACAAAGAGCTCTCTACAGGGAAGTCATGCTGGAGAACTACGGGAATGTGGCCTTTCTGGGTAAGGGTCTTTCGTAGGTGCCAAAGTTGTGAATTGTTGCCATTGGGATGAGGCACGAATCAAAACATTTGAACACAAATACATCGTTTTCAGGCCTCCCCCACTACTTGTCTCCTGTTGGGGGTCTCGAGGAGTTCGAATGGGAGTGAAAGTGATGTTCAACATGGTCTGGGAGAGGGACCCAAGACGCCTGGCTGATCCAGGGGCAACTGAGGCCAGTGTTGTGGCCAGGGCTCTTTTTGTAGCAGGAACTCCTTTGCATATTAGGCGACACACCCCTAATGTAGCCAATCCTCCAAGAGCTTACAGAGCTCTTCTTACAGGGGCTACTGTAAGCTCTTTGAGGATTGTCTACATCAGGGGTGTGTCGCCTCATATGCAAAGGAGTTCCTTTGGTGTAGCCAGTTTGGTGCAGTGGTTAAGTGCGCAGACTCTAATCTGGGAGAACCAGGTTTGATTCCTCCACTCCTCCACTTGCACCTGGCTGGATGACCTTGGGCAAGCCGTAGCTCTAATAAGAGCTGTTCTTGAAAAAGAGCAGTTTCTGTGAAGAGCTCTCTCAGCCCCACCTTCCTCACAGGGTGTCTGTTGTGGGGAGGGGGAAGGGAAAGGAGTTTGTGAGCCACTCTGAGACTCCCTTGGGTAGTGAAGGGCGGGGTATAAATCCAATCTCCTCCTCCTCCTCCTCTTCTTCTTCTTCTTCTTCTCCCCCCCCCCCACAGCGCTGGTTCTGTCCCTTTGTCAGCTGCCGCTCCATATGCCTGCTCTCACCATCCCCCCTCACGGTCACCATTTAAAATACCATGAAGCCAGTTGGCACAGCACTGGCAGCGGTGGCCATTCAATTCCACCCCTCCCACCCCCCAGGTAGTGGTTTCTCTAATCCTCGCTGAGCTGCGGTCAGAGGAGCCGGGACGGAAAAAACACCACACCTCCTCTTCCTCTGCCTTCACTTCCATTCCCCCCACACTATTTTAACTTGGCCTCTTAGCCCCACCCTCTCCCTATTTCCATTCTATTTCTTGGCTGCTTCAAGCACACACACCTAACCCCACCAATGCTCCCTCTAAGCTGTGGAGTCTTGTGAGCAAAAATCCTACTCTGTGAGCTAGCTGGCGTTAAAGTTGTGAGCGAGCGATTTGGTGATGGCGTAAATTAGAAGAAGAAGAAGAGAAGAGATTGGATTTATACCCTGCCCTTCACTACCCAAAGGTGTCTCAGAGCGGCTTACAAACTCCTTTCCCTTCCCCTCCCCACAACAGACACCCTGTGAGGTAGGCGGGGCTGAGAGAGCTCTGACAGAAACTGCTCTTTTTCAAGAACAGCTCTTATCAGAACTACGGCTTGCCCAAGGTCATCCAGCCAGGTTCAAGTGGAGGAGTGGGGAATCAAACCTGGTTCTCCCAGATTAGAGTCCACACACTTAACCACTACACCAAACTGGCTCTCTCTAAATTAGTTTGCTCTGGAACCATCCTTCCTGAGCGAAGGCAAAAAGGTGTGAGCCGGAGGCTAAAAAACTGTGAACCAGCTCATGCTAACTCAGCTTAGAGGGAACACTGCTCCCCACGTGTGCCTGCTTGCCCCCCCAAGCAGTGTTCCCTCTAAGCTGAGTTAGTGTGAGCTAGCTCACAGTTTTTTAGCCTCCGGCTCACACATTTTTGTCTTAGCTCCGGCAGGAGGGCTCCAGAGCAAACTAATTTATGCAGTAGCCAAATCGCTCGCTCACAACTTTAATGCCAGTAGCTCACAAAGTAGAATCTTTGCTCACAAGACTCCACAGTTTAGAGGGAGCATTGCCCCCAAGCAGCCTCCTGCCCTCCCTCCCTCACACCAGTTGCTTGCGGGCCGAGTAAAAGCCCTAGGTAAGCTGGTTCTGGCCTCCAGGCCTTATGTTTGACAAGCCTGGCTTAGAGTGTGGATGGAATTTCAAGTGCAAGTCAGACCTCCTTGTGTGGGTGCTAATGGGATCTCTCTCTTTATTCCAACAGGGAATGATCAGAGGAATGAGGAGGATGAGGAACTGCATCATCTATTGCCAGATGAAGTCAAGAATGAAGACTTGGGAGGAAACTTCAGGAATCAAGGCAGACCCAAGAGGCAGAAAGGCAGCCATAGAGTCGAGAAGAGGAATCAACCCATTCCTTGCCAAGAGTGGGATTTCCGTGAATTAATTCACATGGTGGAGGAAATGAACAAGTGCTTGGAGTGTGGAATGAATTTCTCAGATCAAACCCAATATAATATCCATTTGCAAAGGCACAGTGGGAAGAAGACCATTCAATGCCTGGAGTGTGGAAAGAGCTTCCTTTGCAGAGCAGAGCTCCTTAAACATCAACAGAGACACGCAGGAGAGAAACATAGCTGCCGTGGTGAAACCTTCTCACAGAAATCAGATTTTTTTAAACACCAAAACATTCATTTAGGAGAGAAGCCATTTATCTTTTCAGAGAGTGGAATAACATCCTCTGATGGACGACAGGGAAATCTGCATTTCCTAAGGAACGTTATATCGAAGGCATGTAAATGCTTTCATTGTGGAAGGTACTTTAAATACAGGTCACAGCTCCTTGTGCACCAAAGAATACACACAGGGGAGAAACCTTTTGAATGCACAGAGTGTGGAAAGAGATTCAGTGGAGCTGGCAGTCTTCAACAACATCAACGAATACACAGAGGTGAGAAACCTTTTGAGTGCTCAGAGTGTGGAAAGAGATTCAGTCAGAACGGAAAACTTCAACTGCATCAAAGAACTCACACAGGGGAGAAACCTTTTGAGTGCTCAGAGTGTGGAAAGAGATTCACTGACAAATGTAGCCTCCGAAAGCACCTACAAGTCCACACAGGGGAAAAACCTTTTGAGTGCTCAGAGTGTGGAAAGACATTTAGTCTGAGTGGCAATCTCCTACTTCATCAAAGAATCCACACAGGGGAGAAACCTTTTGAATGCGCAGAGTGTGGAAAGCGATTTTGTTACAGTAGCAATTTTCGACGGCATCTAAGAACCCACACAAAAGAGAAACCTTTTGAATGCTCAGAGTGTGGAAAGGGATTTGGACAGAGTGGTGATCTCCTACTTCATCGAAGAACCCATACAGGGGAGAAACCATTTGAATGCTCAAAGTGTGGAAAGAAATTCAATCAGAGCAGTCACCTTCAAGAACATCAAAGAATCCATACAGGGGCAAAACCTTTTGAATGCTCAGAGTGTGGAAGGAAATTCGGTAAGAGTAACAACCTTTTACAGCATCAAAGAACTCACACAGGGGAGAAACCTTTTGAATGCTCAGAATGTGGAAAGAGATTCAGTAAAAGTAGCAGTCTCATACTACATCAAAGAACCCACACAGGGGAGAAACCTTTTGAATGCTCAGAATGTGGAAAGAGATTCAGTAAAAGTAGCAGTCTCATACTACATCAAAGAACCCACACAGGGGAGAAACCTTTTGAATGCTCAGAATGTGGAAAGAGATTCAGTAAAAGTAGCAGTCTCATACTACATCAAAGAACCCACACAGGGGAGAAACCTTTTGAATGCTCAGAATGTGGAAAGAGATTCAGTAAAAGTAGCAGTCTCATACTACATCAAAGAACCCACACAGGGGAGAAACCTTTTGAATGCTCAGAATGTGGAAAGAGATTCAGTAAAAGTAGCAGTCTCATACTACATCAAAGAACCCACACAGGGGAGAAACCTTTTGAATGCTCAGAATGTGGAAAGAGATTCAGTAAAAGTAGCAGTCTCATACTACATCAAAGAACCCACACAGGGGAGAAACCTTTTGAATGCTCAGAATGTGGAAAGAGATTCAGTAAAAGTAGCAGTCTCATACTACATCAAAGAACCCACACAGGGGAGAAACCTTTTGAATGCTCAGAGTGTGGAAAGAAATTCAGTCATCTTCGCAGTCTTCAACAACATCAAAGAACCCACACGGGAGAAATGTATTGAACGTTCATAGTGTGCAAAGAGATTCCGTCTGCATCATCAAGGAACCCACAGACGTGAGAAACCTTTTGAATGTTCAGAGTGTAGCAAGAGCTTCAGTCAGAGTGGCTATCTGCAACAACATCTAAGAACCTACACAGGGGAGAAACCTTTTGAATGCTTCGAGTGCCAAAAGAAATTCAGTCAAAACTGTGACTTTCAAAGTCACCTAAGAACCCAAAACAACAAGAAACCTTTTGAATGCTAAGAATGTGGGAAGAAATACAAAGTTGTGACCTTCAAAAGCATCTATGAACCACACAGGGGAGAAACCTTTTGAATGCTCAGAGTATGGAAAGAGATTCAGTCAGTGTAATAATCCTCTACCTCATCAAAGAACCCACACAGAGGAGAAACTGTTTGAGTGCTCAGAGTGTGGAAAGAGATTCAGTCAGAGTGCCAATTTTCAACTGCATCAAAAAATCCACACAGGGAGAAACCTTTTGAATGCTCTGGAAACACCTCCAACTGGAGCATCACTTTTCAGCAGCATCTAAGAATGTATTAGTTCGATTTGATATACCGCCCTAACCCCCGTGGGGGTCTCTGGGCGGTTTACATGTGGGGTGCTAGTCACATTGAACCCTAACTAAGGCCACATTGATTCTATGGGTGGGGCAGCCTCCCGGCACCCAGGGGGAGGCTGTCTCTTCGGCTCGGCTGTTCTTTTTTTTTTTTCGGTTCCATTCCCGGCAGCTAGCTGTTCTTTTCCTGGCGCTTAGGCAGTCAGGCGGTCTGATACACAGGTGACGTCCTCCTCCGGTCTGGCTGCGTCCATTAACTGGTGTGATCCTCAAAAGCATCTATGAACTCACACAGGGGAGAATCCTTTAGAATGCTCACAGTGTGGGAAAATAATCAGTTAACCTGGCCATCTTCAACAGCATCAAAGAACCCACACAAACAGAAACCCTGTAACTGCTTAGTTTGTGAAAAGAGCTTATCTCTTATTTCACATGTAAAAGACAACCACAGACCATAGAAAGGGTCAAAACCATATAAACTATTGTAAAGTGCTCATATTGGCAGGAAATCCTTACCCTAACCTGGAAGAAATGATAGAAATATTCAAACTTAGGGCAGAACTCAAATACATCTGACAGGGAAGAAAGAAAGAATGTGTTCTGAGGGTGGAAGGAGATTCAAGACCAGACCATATCTCTTTAATAATTGAGGAATCCACACAGTGGAGGAACCTAATAAATACTCACTGTGTAGCAAGAGGTTGAAGCAGAGATCCAGCCTTCCAGTTTCTCAGATAATCCACACAAGGGTGAACCTTTCCTCTAGTAGGTTCTGATGTGGTTCTTCTTTGAATGCCCAGATGTTGAAGGCTCAGAAATGCTCCGAAAATAGTTATATGAAGAAGGGCCTTTTTAGTGGAATTGAAAGGACTGAGGAAATACTGACTAGGAACCTCGAAATTTTGTCTAACTACTACCTTAAATGGTGGCTCATCCCAAATCCAGGAAAACAGAATGCTCCTGTTTCCTTCTTAGTAACAATCTTGTCAACTGTGAACTGAATGTCTGCCTTAATGGCACCTGACTTACACACCACCATACACCTTGGCATTACCCTGGACAGGACCTTGAGCTATAAACACCTTCTTACCACTGTAGCAGCAAAAATGCACACACAAAACAACATTCTCAAAAATTATGCGGTGCAACTTGGGGTGTGTCTGCTACAACACTTAGATGCTCATCTTTGGGGTTAGTGTATAGTACTGCGGAACATGGAGTTTCAGTGTGGCTCAACAGCCCCTATGTCCACAAACTTGAAGTCCAACTCAATACAACAATGAAAACCATCAGTGGATGTATTAAACCCACTCCACCATGTTGGCTACCTACATTGTGCCACATCGCTCCCCTGCATCTCTGAAGACAGGATGCTCTTTTTCATGAATATAGAAAGATAATTGGAAACAGTGAGCTGCCCATCCACAAAGACATAGCTGACATGGGCCTATCCAGACGAAGGTCTCGACACCTGGCAATAAGATCTGCACAAATCCTGCAATCACAAAATTTCATTCTAGGGAATTAATGGTTGCAAACATGGATGCAATCAGCTCCAACCGATATCCATAATCTGATAAACACCAAGGAGGGGCCCGCGGGATTTGACTTGCCATGTAAAGTATGGAAGACGGCTAACAGAATACGAACAGGCTTTGGCAGTTGTATAGACTTGTTGTTTAAATGGGGCAAAATACTAGGACCCAGATGTGATTGTGGTGCAGCCTACCAAACTCTTTTTCATCTGTTACAGGAATGTGAGCCTTATGCTTTCCAGGGAGATGTGATGGAGCTCTTTGAACTTTCCCCAGCTGTGATCAGTGGATTGAAAATTTAGATGTTAGTATTTAGGGGGATTGCCCAGTCTGTCTGCACACCCATTGTATCAGCTTTGTTACATATTTTATATTATTCTATGCATCCTGTGTGTAACGGTGTGTTTTTAATAATTCTGTCTTTATGGTGTCATATGTCATGTTGAAGAGCCTGCTTTGCGGGCAGGGCGGGGTATAAATTTGATAACAAATAAATAAATAAAATAAAATAACTCTGCCATACAAGAAATAAATGATAGTGGTTGCCCTACTTTAGTCTATCTCCCAAGCTAAGTCCTTCTGACATCTGCAAAACTGGCAAAAAACATACCTGTTTTCCAAATCCTGTGATGAAATAGACAAGTCAAGGATAGCAGGTATCTGTGAATAGATTTCTGGGGGTCCATGAAGTTGGATGGGGGGGGGGAATTACATCTTTATTTTCACTAACCTCTGGAATTCAGCATGCCCTTCAATTATGAATGTAGGCAACAAATGTACCTGTGACTTTGTCACTGCCAGGATAAATCACAGATTTTTTTAATATCACATCACAGTTGTTGCAGATATCTTGAAATATCGTTTACACTCATCACTACGTTGAAATTGGGGTAGTTATTAGACCGGCCGCTAGATCACACACGATCTCAGTCTTCCTGTCCACAGACACTCATGTGATGTCACTGGCCGACTCTCGAGCAACTCTGTACCTAGTCATTGTTCAGCCACGAAATCGTGAATTGGGTATTCTCACATTTGTAGCTGTTAAGTCGCTCGCTTAACAAAGCAGTCGGAGAGTGATTCAGCAAGAACACAACTTTATTCTTCAGCTCGAACACAACTCGAACACGGATCGACACCTGATAGCCAGAACAGCCTTTACATTGCAGCTGTCCTGCTTTTAAACATTCCCGGCGAATGTAGCCCCACCCACTGTACAACTACCAACCAATAAGGTTGTTCACATAAGAACCAATCACGGACATTCCCGCTCAGGGAGCTTGCTTGAAAGTGATTGGTTAGGTGCTTCCCGGGCTAGTAACAGGATTGGATGGATTTGGATCCTAGCCCAGGACGAAGCTTTACATTACACTTCAAATTAGATGTTTCACAACATAACATGCATTCAAGACAGCTTTGAATACACTACAGTAGCCCAGACACCTACAATGATTTCCAGTATTCCCTATCTACAATTGTTGGTTCATCAATACATGGAAGGAAGTGAGTCACTTTCATTCTTTGGTAAAGTTCTGCAAAACGGGACATCTCTGGCCAGTGACTTAAGGATGCCTGGCAACCACTGGGGGATCAGGAGACTTAGGAGTAGAAAGAAGAAGCCCTAGGCCACATGGTTGTCTTTGCACAGGAAGCAGCAGCATCATGCCAACGACTTCTGGTACTAGTATTGGGGCAAAAACTCTATGGTAAAGCTGGCTTCTCCCATAGAGTTTTTGCCCAAATACCAGAGTGTCGCCCGGAAGTCACTGGTGCATTGGCCAAGGCTCCCTCTAAGCTGTGGAGTCTTGTGAGCAAAAATCCTACTTTGTGAGCTCCTGGCATTCAAGTTGTGAGTGAGCAATTTGGCTGCTGCATAAATGAGTTTGCTCTGGAGCCCCATCCTTCCTGAGCTGAGACAAAAACGTGTGAGCCGGAGGCTAAAAAACTGTGAGCTGGCTCACACTAACTCAGCTTAGAGGGAACACTGGTGTTGACATCACTTCATTGCGGCACTGGCAATCAATGTTCCCTCTAAGCTGTGGAGTGTTGTGAGCAAAAATCCTAGAGCTACCGGCATTCAAGTTGTGAGTGAGCAGTTTGGCTACTGCATAAATCAGTTTGCTCGGGAGCAATGTTCCCTCTAAGCTGTGGAGTCTTGTGAGCAAAAATCCTACTTTGTGAGCTACCGGCATTCAAGTTGTGAGCCAGCGATTTGTCTGCTGCATAAATTAGTTTGCTCCGGAGCAATGCTCCCTCTAAGCTTTGGAGTGTTGTGAGCAAAAATCCTACTTTGTGAGCTACCGGCATTCAAATTGTGAGCAGAAGATTGGGCTGCTGCATAAATGAGTTTGCTCCGGAGCAATGCTCCCTCTAAGCTGTGGAGTCTTGTGAGCAAAAATTCTACCTTGTGAACTACTGGCATTAAAGTTGTGAGCGGAAGATTGGGCTACTGCATAAATGAGTTTGCTCTGGAGCCCTCCTTCCTGAGCTGAGACAAAAACGTGTGAGCCGGAGGCTAAAAAACTGTGAGCTAGCTCGCACTAACTCAGCTTAGAGGGAACACTGCTGGCAATGTGGCCTAGGCCTGCTTCTTTCTACTGCTAAGTCGCCTGCTGATCAGCAGCTGGAGTCAGGGGCTGGTGGCCTTGGAAGGCAGAGCCGACACTTCCCAAGCTGCTAGTCCCCAATGAGATCGTCCGCCAGAAGGAATTGCCCCTTGGTGATTCCTCCGTGTGGGAGAGGCTGGTCCTCAGATGGGTTATCTCTTCTCTTCATACACACACACCCCCTTCCCAAAATCCCATCTCTCGTCCAA